GATGTCTCCCTTTACCCACTTTTCTGTTATCTGCCCCCCAGGATTAAGGCATATCTTACTAAAGCAAGGAGGGCATTAAAAGAGTAAGTCTATGGCAATTTCTGGTCACCATTCACTCAGCACCCTCCAAGCACAAGATCCGAACCAAAAGGCTGACTACCAGTTCTATACCCTTGGTAGAGCAGCCATCTGCTTCTTTTCCCATGATGAAGTTTCAGCCTTCTGAAGGGGTAATTTAAATGTAACACACACCCCACTTTCCCACAACTACTAGTCTTCTGTCTAAAGCCTGGTAGCTATGAGGTTGGCCGTGCATTTCTCATAATCACCCCAGTCTGGTCATTGTCAGGAGTCCTGGTGTCATAATGGGTACTCTTTGAGCTGTGAACTTCATGGTCAGCAGTTCAAAACTACCAGGTGTCTCACGGGAGAAAAATGGAGCATTCTACTCCTGCAGAGATTTACAGTCTCGGAAACCGACAGGGGCAGTTCTACTCTGTCCGAAATGTCGCTATGAGTTGGCACTGACTTGATGACGGCGAGTTTGGTTCTTGATTTTGATCCTTGTCAGGATCTTTGTTGTCAGTCAATTAAAGGCTCACTGCTATTGAGTCAATTCAGGGTAGAACGGCTTCTTTGGGTTTTCAAGACTGTAACACTTTAGAGGAGTAGAAAGCTTCATTTTTCTCCTGTGATGCAGCGAGTGCTTTTGAACTGCTCACCCTGAGGTTAGCAGCCCAACATGTAACCATTATGCCACCAGAGCTCCTTTCAGTCAATTCGCTCATTCAAATTAGACATTGTGTGTGTGTGACTAGTTTTATCTCTGCCCACTAAAGTAAAAGAGAGACTCCTCAAATCAAGTTCACTGCCAGTGAGTCCATTCTGACTCACAGAAACCCTACAGGACAGAGTACAACTGCCCCTCTAGCTTCTGAGTAAGTCTTTATGGGAGCAGAAGGCCTCATCAATCTCCTTCAGAGTGGCTGGTGGCTTTGAACTGTTGATCTTGAAGTTAGCAGCCCAACATATAACCCACTGTGACACCAGGGACTGTTCTATAGTGCTAAAAATCAGATTCAAGGTGGCTTCTTCCATGTTAATGCCTTCCCTGGTATCAGTAATATTAACTCACAGAACTACTTGATTTAGCTAATGATTAAGCATCTTAATCATATGGGTCTTGTTCAGAATTAGGCATTACCAGCTTGTTGTTGCTGTTAGGCGCCATCAATGGGTTCCGACCCATAGCAACCCAATGCACACGACCATCCCTACTATTGTTCCTAGGCCCGAGTCCAGGGATGCAGCCGCTGTGTCAACCCACCTCCTTGAGGGCCTTCCTCTGTTTCGCTGCCTCTTCACTCTACCAAACAAGATGTCCTTCTCCAGGGATTGGCCGCTCCTGACAATACATCCAAAGCATGTAAGATGAAGTCTTGCTACCTTTGCCTCTAAGGACCACTGTGGCCATACTTCTTCCAAGACAGATTTGTTTGTCCTTTGGCAGCCCATGGTACTTCCAATATTCTTCTTCAGCACCACGATTCAAACACATCACTTCTTCCGACTTCCTTATTCAATGTCCAACTTTCACATGTACATGATGCAACGGAAAAGTACCATGGCTTGGATCAGGTGTACCTTAGTCATTAAAGTACCATTCCTGTTTTTCAACCTCTAACGAGATCTTGTGCAGCAGATGGACCCAATGCAGCACAGCGTTTGAGCTCTTGACTGATGCTTCCAGGAGCATTGATAGTGGGCCCAAACAAGACAGAATCCTTGACAACTTCAACCTTTTCTCAATTTATCATGATGTTACCTATTGGTTCAGTGGTCAGGATTTTGGTCTTTTTTACTAACCTAAAGTAAAGGTTACTTTACTGAGTCGTAATCCATATTGTGGGCTGCAATTCTTGATCTTCCTCAGCAAATGATTGAATGAGTCCTCCTCACTTTCAACAAGCAAGGTTGTGTCATCTGTATATCGAAGGTTATTAACAAGCCTTTCTCCAATCCTGATGCCACATTCTTCTTCATATAATCCAGCTTTGCTGATGATTTACACAGCACGCAGATGGAACAAGAGTGGTGAGAGGCTACAACCCTGTTGCACATCTTTCCCGGTTCTAAACCATGCAGCATTCCCTTGTTCTATTGATCTGCTTCTTGATCCTGGTACAAGTTCCGTGTGAGCACAGTGAAGTGTTCTGGAATTCACATTCTTCTCCAGTTTTTCCGGAGTTTAGCATGGCCCACCCACACAGTAGAATGCCCTTCCACACTCAATGAAACACGAGTAAATCTCTAGGCAAAAACAAAACACAAATGTGTTGCTCTTGGGTCAATTCTGCCTCATGGTGACTCCAGGTGTCCCAGAGTTGAACTGCTCCGTGGGTTCCTCTGGGTTGTAACTGTCATGAATGGCAAGCCTTTCTTCCATGGGGATCTGAGGCGGGTGTGAACCACCAACCTTTAGGTTAATCTCGCTGCCACCAAGTCAATTCCCGACACAGCGACCCTATAGGATAGGGTGCTTTTCTGAGAGTGTGACTCTTTATGGGAATAGACAGCCTGGTCTTTCTCCTGAGGAGTGGGTGGTGGTTTTGAAGTGTTGACCTTATGGTTAGCAGCCCAATGAGTAACTACTTTAGGTTAGTAACTTGGTCCAAGACATTCACACCTCCTTCATAGGGACCTATTTGCCAGGGAGTGGGGCAGTAATAAAGCCTCTCCTCCATCTACATATGTGCCTCCCGGGGCCTCCTGAGCCACTTGGCACTCACCCAGAATGCTGTCATTGTGAATCAGAGAGTCGTTCTCCTCCCTCTGGCTGATTTTAAATAGAAGTTTGCAGACATTAAGAAGGTTCCTTTTACTCACTTTAAGCTGCAGAGAAAGAAAAAACACATTTCCGCTGCAGAGGGAAATCAAGGCATGCAATATATATTAAAAAACACTAACAACTATTTTAAGAATGCAGCAAGCATATTTTTAGAATGTTAAGTAGAAGTTCTAAAGAAGTCAACTTTCAAAAGTTCAGGTCAAGAATTTGCCAACTTAGAGGATATCACTCAAAAAGGACCGGTTAGAGACTGTAAGTTCTCTGGACAGTTACGGACAGTTTAAGAATAACAACCACGATGCCTGTCTTACTTCACACACTGTCCGATGAGCATCTTTCAGAGAGAACGTGAGGAAGAAAGGGGGTGATAGTGTCGAGACCTTTACATAAATGACTAATCCCTTAAAGACACACAAGGGAAAGAAGAGGGAGACTAGAATTTTAGATGAAATGAATTTGGAAAAGATGCCGTGTGTGTGAGTGCACATGCAAGCAAGAAAGCCAAGAAGGGGGCAGTTCCAACCTCTTTTGGTGTAAAAGAAACCACAAAGGTAATACTGCTCCACCAGATCATATAAACATTTATTTCAAAAGGTTATTTCTAGAATAACCTTGATATAATCACAAATAACAATCACAATTGAGAGATACCTTGTACATCAATCACACCAGCAAATTAAGCATGGGGCAGGGAGGCTGTGAACTTTGTTAAAGCACTGTATAGCTGACTAATGGAATCAAATATTCTAAATCAGATGCATATTTATCTGATAAGAAAAACACAAACTACCCTAAGTGCTAATACCAGGGACTAACAAACTGTAGGACACCGATGCTATTCACCACTAAGCAGTCACAAAATTCCTGACGGTGAACACCATGAATAGAGGGACAACACTCATCTCCTGCTAAGGGAACATACTCTGGGCTCCCACGGCAACCAGGTTAGGTGTGTCCGGAGAAATGAGGTCATCGGAGCAAGTCGGTATCCTGGTGTGACAAGGACGGCATTATAGGTGTTTTTCATCATTAAAAGCTGTTTTTAAAACGGATCTTTAATAGATACTTCTTTTTAGGTCTCTGGTTAGTAAACAAACAAGAATCTGGCAGACCTATTTTTTTATGTTGTTTGAAGCCTACATTTCCAGCAGGCTCCTATTGCAGGCACTGTGCTGGTCACAGGAGGAGCCACCAGGATGGCCAGCCCCATCTCTGCTGGAGCAAGGAGGGGAGCACTGCCCACAGAGCAGCTTGGGTGGGGGCAGCTCCTGCAGTGGAAACTTTGACATTGGTTGTCTTGGAGCAAGCCTGTGCGTTACGTCAAAGACCAAACCCCCTGCCGTCGTCGAGCTGATTCGGGCTCGTAGCGAACCTCTTGGACAGGGTAGAAAAGCCCCTGTGGGTTTCCAGGCTGTAAATCTTTACAGGAGCCAAAAGCCTCATCTTTCTTCAGGAGAATGGCTAGCTGGTGGTTTCAAACTGCTGACCTTGTGGTTAGCAGTCCAAAGTGTAACCCACTATGCCCACAGGGCCTCCTGCCCCGTGCATTAAGTGTTTGTTGTCATTCTCATTTTGCAGCTGTGGGTACAGTCTGCACCTCCAAGAAGTCATATAAAGTCATATAAGCCAGCTTGGCATGCAGAAATGCTGGGGGGGACGACTCGGGAGCTGGCCGTACTGAGTCAGTGTGCATTTGCACAAGGGCCCGGGTCATGGGACTGAACTTTAAAGTTAGCAGAGCACTGTTGCTAGTGGTAGAATAGAGTCCTTCTGTTCTCAGGAAGAAGAAAGGAAATCGGAACTTTCCTAAGTTTTAATGATAGGCGTTTAAAAGACATTATTGGGGGTGGGGGGGGGGGGAGGAAATAAGCTGACCTACTAGATATTTAAAACCTCAAAATCAGTGGAAATATGTCTTGCTGTGAGCCCTTTGAGGCCCAAACCATAATATAGTACTCTTTAGTGTGGTGCATGTATTAGCTGCTTGATAGAACCTGCCAAATAAATAAATGAATGCATGAAACTAACCTAACTCTTAACATTTTTAGTGGAAGGGGGAAAAGGACAACAACAAAAATACCTGGTGTCAGAGATTTCATTGAAAAGGAGAAGAAAAAACAGCACCACCGCACTGTCCATGCATGCCACAGGCCGGAAGGAGCCGAGATCCATCATTAGGACTTTGCGCCATGGGCAGATAACAAATACCAAGCATTGCAGGCGAAGATAGACGGCTTGACATACAGTTGCTCTTTCTCGCATCATTCTCCACTCTCTTTCCCCGTTTTATTTTCCGCTCTCAACACTCATTACTCACTCCCTGCCATCGAGTCGATTCCGACTCAAGGTGACCCTGAAGAGCATGGTAGTGGGCGTCTGAGGCTGTAAGTCTTTATGAGAGTAGACAAACCTCGTGTTTCTCCTGAGGAGTGGCTGGGGGTTTCAAACTGCAGACCCTGTGGTTAACACTGAAACACCTGACCCGCCGTGACACCACCAGGGAGCGCTATTGGGTAGGTGTTGAACTGCTAACCGCAAGGTCTGCGGTTCAAGCCCACCAACCGCTCCAAGGGAGAAAGCTGAGGCTGTGTGCTCCTGTGAGATTTCATTGCCAGCTGCAGGAATCCTCACGAGGGTCACTACAGGTGGGAATCGGCTCGATGACAATGAGTGTTTTCAGCTCGGCACCCACTAGCCCTCTCTACCAATGTGACTCTTCACCTCTTTATAGCATGTGGCCCTGCTGCAACCGGCCAACACAGGCGGAGGTTCGGCCCATTTTATTCACCTCGCAAGGCAAACATCCAGCCTCAAGCCTCAAGGCTCTTGTCATACGGTAGTTTCTTCATATGCTACAAACAATAATCTAGTCTTCTTAGTCTCCTTAAACTCCAGAGCCCTGGTGATCCCGTGGTTATGCATAGGGCTGTGATACGCAGGGTTGGCAGTTCAAATACGCAGGGTTGGCAGCTCTGAGGGAGAAAGACTGGGCTTTCTACTCCCATAACCAGTTACGGTCTCGGAAACCCACAGGAGGTCTCTATGATTCAGCACAGACTCGATGGCAGTGAGTCTACTTATAGCAAGCACTCTGGCAACTTAAAGAAAAGGTTTCAAATCACCCATGATGTTAACACCATGCTTAATCACTGTTGACGTGTGTATATTTCTTTTCTGATTTTTGGCCCCTTTTGTGCAAGGGGTTGTTACCCTGCTCCTGAATATAACTGCATTCATGCTGTATATATGTCTGTATTCTTGGGGGTGGGGCTGGCGGGGAGGAGAGACCTTAATGTAGGCTAACATGACATGTTTTTGTAAAATTTATCAATAAAAAGATTAAAGTTGAAATTGCGGCCTGGCAAATCCTCATCAAATCAAAGAAGGCATCATCCAGAGCTAACATCACGCTCACAGAAACGTTGAAGCCAGAAGCCATCGTACACGTCTGAGTTATAATATTAAACTGGAAGAGGAAATATTGGCAGAGAGAACTTACAACTTGAGTTTTTGCTAATTTTTTATTCTTCAGCAGTTGTTGTTGTTTTCCTTCTTTGTAACATGGTCATTTTGAAATTCACCTGGAGCCCCATCGGCAAGCCTATACTAAAGACCACTGTTCCTGGGCCAGGACGAGAGCTTGGGGCAGTAGGTGGGAAGTTGGGCTTGAAGCCCCTGCTGGCCCCTTCTGACCCAGAGGTCCCAGAGTGCGTCAGAGAGGAGGGCTGCCCCTGTCTGCACTCTGGGGTCCGCCCTGGCCCCCGACTCAGCAGGGCCTTCGGCGCCAGGCCGAGGGCTTCAATTCATCGTCTGCTTTTAGCTCAGAACGCGTTCACCGCCTGGGAGATCGCTTAGCCTTTTGCCCTAAAATCGTTAGTTGTGCCATAGATATAACTAAAATTTGAATGACACCCTCATAACCAAGATGAAGATTTTCTTCGCAAAACCTTAACAAGTTTATGGCATTCTTCTCCCACAAAACGATTTTTAGAAAATTTTGGAGGCTTGGTATGTTCAGAGCAAAAGCTCTTCAGGCTCAGATGGAAAGGGAAAATTAAGCTCTGGGCAGCCCCCAGCCTGAATTTTCCCCAGGGCAATCGTACCCCAGGCGGTTGGGGTTGGGGTGGGGGGGACACGCGCTTCCGGCCAAGATGGTGCCCTAACCCCAGGGCGCAGTACCCTTCGGTTCCTGCTTGCTCTCTGTCCTTCACTTGAAAGCCTCCCTGTGGTCGATGCGTCTGTATTGAATGAAAGCTAACGGGTCAAATCCCATCAGCAGTGGAGGAAATGAAACGCCACTGGAAGCCCTGCTTCAAAAAATAACAATAAAAAGGTTCCCTTCTGAGGCATTTAATACAATGTTTAAACAAATAGAGAGTGAGGCTACATTTAGGTTTAGGGCGGTAGGTAAATAAGCAGGCAGCCTCACGAAAACAGCAGCACATTCCGTACAAGAGACTCAGCCGCAGCACGTGGCCAACCTCACCTTCGTGGGGCCCTGGAGATGACGAATGACAAGGATTGCGGGCCGTGGACACGAAAGCAGTTACTTTGGGGAAACCAGGTAAACAGCGCTTCCTCCTCCGTCTGGTGAAGCGGCCCTGAGAATGCTCTCTAAGAAGGGTCTGATCTTCTGGCTCCCAGCTGCTTGTGGCCCTGACAGCAAAGGGTTCCCCTCAAACGGTGACATCATTTTGCAGGAGACCAAGTTTCGACAGACTTGTCTGTTGGTGTCTGGCTTTTCCGGGGAGCCTTCTGCATCCACTGAGGTGTGGGTCTTCCCAGGACCGTGGGCTGCGGCTTCTGTTTCACCCTGGTCCCTGAATGAAGGACCAGGCTGGCCGGCTGGCCGGTGTGTCAAAATGATCTGACGCTCTTCATTACATCTTGTGACAGAATCAAGCCCCCCCGCAGAAGCCACAGCTGCAAATTACCTGATCCTGACCTCCACTCACTCACTCCAGCAGCAGCTTTGAATGCCTGTGCCTATTGTTAAGGTTGGAGGGTGGGGGGACCCGAGTCCCAGTCCAAATGCGAGGATTCATTTGAATGTTCTCTAGGGACTCAGATCCCTAGAAAGTACTTTCCGGTCAATTTCGGGAATGCTACATTATTGCCTCCTTTTTCCCCCCTAAGATTCCAAACAAAGGCACTAACTTTTTTAACCTCTGCATACAATTTACGAATGAAGCATTCGACAAAGCTTTTATGGGCTAGAATCTACTAAACTGTAGGCAAGAAAAAGAAACACTTACTGCTAGAATAATCTTTGCGAGTTTAAGGCTGAGCAAGTCCGAACCAACATCAACTAGTTGGTAGAGGGTCCTCAGGAGAAGGGTTCTTCTCTTAAATCGGCTCCCAAGCATGCGCCCTTCCGCCAAGGCGAGGTGAAGCTGGGTGCACGCGGCACAGGCCGCCTCCACGTTCTCTGCTGGCAGGGGAGCAAAGAGAGAGTGAGTCAGTCTTCAGGGTCAGGAGGAGGTGAAACAGGCACAGCGCGAGTACAAGCGCCGTCACCTCTCATTCCATCAGGGTCCCGTTCCTGAGCTGTGGTTTGTTCCCCCTCTTCACGTTGTTTTCGCATCACTAGAGTTTCTCTTTCCTCTTCCAGCTATCTAAGGCTGCTCTTCACTTCTCGGGTCCACCTCCTACCACGCTGGCTGATTTACTGGCAAGTCAGCTCACTTACAGTGGCACAGTCTTTCCAGGAGGGCGCTGAAGAATGGACGTGCCACCTCTCTCAGCTCCCGCCCTTCACTCCAGATGGCCTCCCTCCCTGTCCAGGCTTGGGGGGTGGGGGGGCGGAATGCCACTAGGCGCCCAGCCTCCAGCCCTTTGCAATATGGTCCCACTGGCCCTTAATCTTCTCCGTACCTATGCTCCTACTGAGCCGGGCCCTCTGGGTCCTGTTCCTGTTCTAGCTCCGGAAAAGACGCACTGCTCCACAGGCAGCGCCTCTGACAGGGCACTGAACGAATGCTACTTTGTATCATTATTGTGCACATTCATGTATCTCCGTATTCACGTTATCATGTATTCATCTATCATGTATTCATGTTCACTTTCATGCTGCATGGTATGTCTGAGGCCCTCAAAGAGATGCCACTCTAACTCAATGGCAAGTGTGACCGGCCTAGTTTTGCGTCAACAGACGTGATACGATAAGGACACTTGACATCATTTCGCGACAGGGAGGAAGGCTCTCAACAAGACGGGCTGACACAGTGGCCGCAAGAAGAGGCTCAAACGGAAGAAGGGTTCTGAGGGTGGCGCAGGGCGGGTCGTCATGGGTCGTAATCCACTCAACGGCCCCTAACAATAACCACTGCCGCCGAAGGCAAGACAGATTCCGTTTCCGACCTATCTCTTGGTGACTGTTTTCTTTTTCATTTGTCCAACGTCCGAGTCCAGAGCGCTCAGGCAGTGCAAAACTCTCCAAATGTCACCAGATGCCCCCTCTTGGGGATGGCTGTTAGAGAGCGTCGCTTGGAGCTGTCCAGGCATAGAGCGTGCTCATCTGCTCATCGGAGTTCTGATGACCGTCGTCTTGGGAGTGGCAGCCACACTCACAGGCACCCGGGGAATACCGTCTGTCAGGGAGCGGGAAGGGAGCTCTAAGACTCTGAGACATAAGTTATTCAGCTGGGGGGAAAAACGGCCTCTGATAGATCCCGTCACAAAATGTCAAAGTAGGAAACCAATCTTAAATAAATACCATAATGTGCTCTCAAAAACCTGCATGGAGGAAGTGTGCTCCTGCCGAAGGAAGTGACTCAGGCCATTTTTAGCTCTTTTCAACAATAACATCTCAGAAAAAATGTTGAACCTCAATAGCTAAGTAACCTTCAGCGCCTTCAGTTATGCCCTGAAATAAATGAATTGATGGGAAATGACTTAGGCTGGCTTTCAAAAAAGGGGGGAAACCTGAATGCCATTGTAAGAAATCCCTAGGTGTTGTCGTTCTGTTCTCCTGTGACTGGCGGTTTCTTCGTAAACCCAAGTCCCGGCTGTGGATGGCCCTCAAGGTATCTGTTCAACACGTCCACAAACTCAGCGGTAGCCGTTTGGCTTAAAGGGGAAATAATTCAAGGGTGGCACAAGATTTAAACTACTGATCAACTGAATTATTTCTACCAAGTGGATTGTTCTAAATGCCACACGCCCTTCACGGAGAGCTCGAATCTAAGCGTTACAGAGATTTTCAAGAGGCTGATGGCGAGTGGCAGCTTTACAGTGGAGACACCTTCGCCAAGTGGCCAGAGGTAACAGCAGTGGTGCCGGGGGAGGACACAGGTGCCGAACTTGGAGCTGATCGTGAGGAAGGAGCACAAGATTCCAAACTGTCGGGCACTGAGTAAAACAACTGGCTGGTGTTCCTCACACATGTGTCCGATCACGAGAAAGGACGAAGAATGGCAACTTGGGAGCCATTCTGTTCCCCTGGAGGAAGTTACTGGGACAATCAGCCAAACTGGAAGAGGGTTTGTATAGCAGCCAAAAATCAAACTCACTGCCAGCGAGCCAATGCCGACTCATAACGACCCTTTAGGACAGAGCAGAACTGCACTGTGGGCTTCTAAGACTGTAACTCTGTACGGAAGCAGGAAGCCGCATCTTTCTCCCGGTGTGTATGGTACTAGTGTATCAGTTAAAATGGCCAGATGGGCAAGAGAACTCTTGATTACTATTTTTTATTCAGGCCACAGTCCTTAGGAGTATGGGGCATCATGTCTGCAACTTGTTCTCAAGCAACACAAAACAGGCCAACACAAGGTGTGTGTGTGTGTGTGTGTGACGCCGAGGGGGCTGGAGAAAAGCAGAGAGGAAAAGACTCCTATTTGGGGGATCTGGATGAAGAGCACACATGAGGGGGCACCTGCGTGAGGCGGAAGCCTGTCTGTCTGTAGTTCAGACAGACATGTTCCACTAAAGCTAGCGGGGCAGCGGAGGGCTGAGACCGCACCCTGTCAAAGCCAGATAACAGGTGAGCCCCGGGAGAACAAGGCAGTCCCGCCGAGTTCCGGCCCCCAGGGCCACTGTGCTACTTGGCGTGCCGTTCTTGCCACGTTTCTGTAAGTTTGACACCATGCCAAGATAAAAAGGAAAGGAAAAAAGAATCACATGGAGGGGCTCAGGTGGCAGCTCCTGAAGTGGCCATGTGCTGTCCCGCAGCGTGTTCGTGGGGACAGCTGCCACGCTCCTGTGCCTAGTATAATCTTCTAACAAACCCTAACTGCTGCTCAAGTGTCCTGCTAGCAGGGTCCATGGTGACAGACCCCCAGGGCCCTCTTTTCAACCAACCTCCATGCTTAAAGATCTCTTTCCTCCAAGACCACTCTCTGGCCTACTGACCCATTCTCCCATTGAATGCCCTCTTACCTACACTGCCCATTCTCCCTAGTTTTCTCAATCAGCCCAGAGTTACCTGGTCCATTAATACGAAAGCCAGAACCAGTGACTAGAGGGGAAGTCACCCGTCCCCACTCCTAGGACCTGCGAGCTCTAGCGCACTGAGGGGATGGTGGAGGCTTGCCCACCCCTCATGCCTAACCCACAGAGATGATTTCGCCCACAGGCATAGGCTGATGACCAGAAACCCTGTCCAGGGCCCTGCCATTTGACCCTTTGAAGAAGTTGGTCTCTGGCACAACTTCCCTGTTGGGTTGCTGGGGCAACCCGTGGCTACCGTGGTTCACTCATCCAGGGACTTTCCAAGCAGTAGTCCCCATGGTGGGCCTACTGTGTGCTGTGTGCCAGACACTGAGTGTCAGCCCTGAGGTTACAGCCCAGTTGGCTTCAAGGTACCTGCTTCCGTTTCAGCAAGAGAATTCAAGAAGATACAGGATGGCGGGGGTGAGGTGAGGTAGGTGGTAGGGAAGTCCACTCCTCTGCAAAGCTCTCTGTCCACTCCCTTTGGAGGTGGGCCTGCCCAGCTGGGCCACTCCAGGCTGCAGAGCATACTGGGCTACACACCAGGCCAGGTCCTGCCCTTGGGAACCCATCCCTGACACATGTGCTCCCCCTCAGGCAGCCAGGGACGCACAGACATTTGGATGCAGGGACCCACGGACACATCAGTCACAGGGGCCAGGCTAAGAAGCTCAGGCACAGCCACACTGTCAGAGGCCTGAAATCTGTTTCCTCTTTCAATTTCTTGCATGAACAAGAGAGTCCACTAGACTTTCTCAGGTAGGAGAGGTGGCCATTCGTCATTTACAAAGGGGTTTTTAAAAATTAAACCGTCTTGGTAAAACTTTTAAAATATAATTTCACTCTCTAGTACCCAATGACTACATGCAATATTTCGTAAAACACACCTATTGGCAGAGAAAAAAAAGATGCTGTTGCCATTGAGTGGCTCCCAACTCCCGGATGGAGACCCCTGTGTGCCAGGGTAGAACTGTGCGCCCTAGGGTTTTCCATTGCATGCATCTTGCAGAAGTAGACCACCAGGCCTTTCTTCCGAGGTGCCTGCCTCTGGGTAGTTTAGAACGACCAGCCTCTCGGTTGGTGGCCGAGTGCTCAGGCAATTGAAGGCCCCAGGACTCCACATGGACACATCGGCGAGTGAAAGACCGGGAGGGACATTTCATCTGTTGTTGAAAATGTCCACAGGGGTGACGGGAGTCACAGTGTACTAACGACAGCGGGCAGCGGTGAGCGTGGGAATCACTACAGATGTTTTCCATTAAGGCAAAAAACGGATACTTTTTTTTACCCTCTTTTAATTTATGCAAAATTGGCATGATCCTTGTATTCCAAAAGACTTCGTCCACTTCCTTTTCCGTGTCCTTTTCCCGCGGGTCGGCAATTGAGGCTGCCAAAGAAACTCAAGAGCAGAGGGACAGCCATGAGAAACAGCAGTTGCTAGACATCATTACTATTCATCTCTAAAATCAACAGACGCTGGGAAGACCCCAACCCCCTCCTCCCCCAAGGGAGAGCCGTGGTCTCCTCATCCAAGAATCCCAAATGAACCTCAGGTGAGACGTGCAAAGACACCACAACTTTCACATACAGCCTGGACACTTCACCAAGTGTGAGGTTTGGTACGTCATGGGGAAATTGTGATTGGTGAGGCATATGCTTCTGCTTTTTCCTCCCTTGAACTTTATCCTAGGGTGCTCGGACATACAGATGACCAGTGAGGTGTGCAGACCAAGGGCTGGTGCTAGCGCACATTCATGTGACATCAAACGCTGTCGTAAAAGGAAGGCCCAGAGGGAGAGCGGGAATGTCATTGTGGGCTCCGTCTTCTTGCTGGCGGTGGCAGATCACCCAAGAAGCAGGGCAAGCATGGGCTTACTGGTGCTTGCTCACTAATTCGTAGGGGGCCGTCTCACATGTCTTCCCAACATCAAAGGTTCTACTACAGGGTCGGGCTGGCAGATGTCTTTCCCAGGCTCACGGCACCTTCCTATAGAATGAAAGCCGCTTTTCAAAGCAACCATCCCGACAGGAGTGAGAGTCGTTTCACGTGTTTTTCCACTACACCAGGATGCTCGCTTTGGGCTTGTAAATAAGCTGTGCTTACCTTTCCGAGTGGGGGACCCACCCCTGGTGATTGGTGTTGCTGTTGCAGGTCGTCAGTCGGTTCTGACTCAGAGGGACCCCGTGTGACGGTATGGGACTGACACACGGGGTTCCGTGGGCTGCCATCTCTCTACAGCAGTGGATCAGCTGGTCTTTCTGCCACAGAGCCCCACAGTAGGTTTCAGCAGCCCACATCCTGGGTAGTTAGTCGAGCAGTCATGTAACTGTGTCCTTAACCACTGCTCCCTACGTCAGGGCTCTTAACTCAAACCACTGCGCTGGGGGCCATTCCGACTCACAGTGACCCTGCAGGTCTCCGAGGCTGTTAATCTTGATGAGCGGAGGGCCACAGCTTCCTCCTACTGAGCAGCTAGCTGGTGAGTTTGAACCACTAGCCTTCTGGTTAGCAGCCGATGGCTTGAACCACTGCACCAGAGGGCTCCCCTACCAGGGCTCTGAAACTGGAGCCTAGTCACTCCGTGTGGTGTCCTGGGGAAGTGCAGGCTTGGGGCTGACAAGTCTCAGGTGGAATCCCAGCTCCACCATTGATTCATTCTAACTGGAAAAAAAAGGGCAAGCTTTTCTGTATCTTCCCCAACTCCTAGTGTACTTGTATCACCCCTAGAGAGGGGAAAAAAATACACAAACCATAACAACTGTATGTGCTTAAGTCTTATCCGTACTCATATCCTTTGCCACTGCTAAAATGACATTCTCTGCAACTGAGAATCCAAGAAAGTCTCTTGTCCACGATCTGTGTAGATAGGAGAGAAATGGCAGGTACTACATGTGCCTAATGGGCCAGACCAGGGGTTGGCAAATGGCGGCCCTCGAGACATAGGCGGCTCTTTCAGTGCATACACATGACTCAGAAGTAAAACTGAAAATGTCTAACGGGTATTATTCAGATAATGGTGATTCCATTTGTTTGTAAACCTCTATTCCTGGCTCTCAAATAATTTTTACATTGTTGTGAGGGACGAGATTGGCTCTTCTGCCTCAAAAGTTTGCCGACCCCTGGTCAGGAATGCAGAAGAGTTGGTTTAACCTTTAGCAAGGAAAGCCCCCCCACGGGCCCTTCCAAGCCACTCACTGAGAAGTGTTCTCACTGCCCTCTGATGGCCTCCCCAGAAGAAGCAGGGAGGTTCTTCCCCTGATGCGAACCGGGTGTGTCACTCAGTTGCAGCAAGTCTAGACTTGTCCTGCCTGCCACCAACACAGGGCCATGAACACCAGGCACTCCAGGCTGCACAGACAGACAGACAGACAGAATGGTGTTCCCAGCACAGCGGCCACGAGGCAGCTCTGTGCTGTCAAGAGACTTAATTTTTGAGCATCGGATCATCGATCTGTCCCTCAGGTCCACACCACGACAAGCGCACAATCCCTTATTCAAAATCTTGGGGCCAGATGGGTCATGGGATTCCGAATTCTCTGGGTTTTCGAAAGGGTCAAACGGTACCCAAAACAAAACAAAACAAACCCCACTCACTGCCATCAAGTCGATGCCGACTCAGACCAACCCTGCCGGACAGGGTAGGACTGCCCCAGTGAGTGTCCAGGACTGTAATTCTTTACCAGAGTAAAGAGCTCAGGCTTTCTCTCAGAGCTACTGGTGGCTTCGAACTGCCAACCATGCAGCTCGCGGCCCAACCCGTAACCACTCTGCCACCAGGGCTCCTTCATATGGTACATACACAACTCACTACATACTGAGCCGGCAGGGCCTTCTGGGGCAGCCCCCTGCGGCAAACACGGACATTATCAAGACTGTAATTGGCCTGCCCTCAGTGCCGGCCAGGCGAGTCGCTACCAGATGGGCTTGGAAAGTCTCTGGGACTTCAGGGCTTTGGGATCTGTGAGTGAAAGACTACACTCAAACCACCTCCAATGTTTGGATCACGACTTTTTCCAGGTCTGCTTTAACTTCGGTAAATCCCAGTTAGGGATTCTGACAGCAGACCGGAGTACTAAAGCAGTCTAAAGAAAGAGTCCGTTGCTCCTATTCCCAGGTAACAAACATACTCAAAGTCTAAAGTACGGGAATACACTGAACATGTGCTGATGCAAGTGAAAGGCAGGGGCGTGGTGGTGAAGAAAACAGAACAAAAACGATAATCCAGAATGATCATTTAACCAACCCAATCATCCAATATTGATGACGATGCTCTTCAAACAGACTAGAAATACAGAGAGACGTCAAGCCCCGTCAGCTGAAAGCAGTACCTTCGATGCAATACATGCCTTAAGATGAAGGTGCTCTGCAAAACCATGGCTACCAAGTGGTGTTTCAAAACCATCAACGTATGAAATGTGTTCACTCTAGGAAGAACTGAATGAGTAGGGCGAGTCAGGATTGCAGAAGTTTGTTGAACCTTTAGCAAGAAAAGCGCCCCACGGGCCTTTCCAAATCCTCCCCAGGCTGCTGTCATCTCAGAAGAGAACCTAGCCCCACACTGGGGTGCAAAGGTCTGCTTCTCACTCTCTCCCCGGCACCCCCTGGAACACAGTTGTGTCTGGCCCCTGCCTGCTCTCACCTCCACCCTCCTGCACCTCTGTTCTCAACAGAAATGCCATTTTAGACACTAGTCCCAAAGTCCAAAAGGGCAGCCTTAACGATGCTCTGCTAGAAACCGAAACACAGACTCATGTGATGGTTTCTTTAAACTCCACCAACAGAGATGGATAAAGCTTGCCTTCGTCCTGGGCAAATGGCCTGATACGTTAGAAAGCAATTTCATCGAGCTGCACCATTAGCTAAAGATAAATAAAGAAATGGTTCAACAGGAAATTGGGTACGACGAGCAACAAGTTCAGCATGTTTTGTTGGACAGATTGGGCTGTTTCGGTGGTTATCATTGTTAACCACAACTTTGAATTCTGAGCCCAAACACGTACCACCGTGCTGATTGGCTGCCGTTTTTAGCATGCAGATGTACAGCCCCCAGCAACAGTGCTGACCCAGAGACTTTCCCTGTGAGCTGCAGGAATTCCCAGCAACCCTACCAAACATTCTTTTTGATAAGAGATCCATTCGGAAGATAATGAAGTATATATGCTGTGTTACTTAATTTTAGTCTGGCTTCATACAACCTCTCCTCCCCAACCCTCTTCTTTGTATGTCAGAAATAGTTCAAGCTTACAAAAAGGTATGAAAGAAAAAATACTTGGGGCAATTCTTCATGTTTTGCCCGCTTTCCAGCCCCCATCTTTGTTTCCAAGAATAAGACATGACAGACCAAGTATGCTTCCCCATGATCCACTCCCCTTCTCCCTCTCTCTCCAGGGGGGCCAGCATTCTAACCTGGGCACTTATTGCCACCATACTTGACATGTTTAGGGCACAGCTTTGTATCCATGAACAACAGTATGCCCTGGTGCTTGCCACTCCTTTTCCCACTTGCTGTCCTGTCTGTACTTGCTTCACTCTGATCATAAAGAAACCCGAGTTCATTTTCTAGCTGCTCTCTGCCACTGTGAGGAGCCCTGCTGGGCTGCTTACCTCAAGGTCAGTAGTTCAAACCCACCAGCTGTTCTGCACGAAAAAGAAGGGGCTGTTGGCACTGTGCAGGTGGTGAGCTTTGGAAAACTACAGTCCTGCCCTGTCCTGCAGCGCTGCTGTGAGTCAGTCGCAGGGATGGCAGTGAGTCGGTGGGTGGGTACAGTCTACCGCGCGCGAATACAGGTGGTATCCATTTCAGCCTGGGGTTCATAGATGCATATTTTCTCAAGTTAACAACTTAAAGTCCACAAGGGCTATCTTCAAGACGCTGAGTTGGACAAATATCCAAATGCTTTTAGCAAGGTTTCTGTGGGGCATAAAGACTGCCACCTGTAGACACGGACGAGCCGGAGCTCGGTAGTGGGAGAATGAGTTCTGGAAACGAATGTTGATCTATGACCCGGGAGCCCTAGGGGTGCTGGGGTTAGGCAGTGGGATGCCAACCAAAGGCTGGTGTCTGCTCCCGGGAAGACTGAGGCTCTAAGGACTGTGAAGACAGCCCCCTCCTCTCTTAACAACACCAAGCAGACTTGATGGCTGTGGGCTGTGTCGGGGTCCTGGAGTTTTCACGCAGCGGGTCAACATCAGACATCTTCACTGGTGACGTTTTGCCTACGGCCGCAGACGCTGTCAGGGAAGGGGACTTGGGGACCTCTAAGAAGGGGAGCCTCACCTGCTGTGGTTTCCGGTTGGCTCAGGTCTGCGCGGCTGGGGCAGGAGGAGGCCCGGGCGCGCCTCCTCCCTTGGTCCCTGGGAGAGAGAGGGCAGACATGGGACTCAGCCCAAGCACCAAAGTGCAGCTCCCTCGGTGCGTGTCGCCAGGTGGCTGCCCAGTTTCTGGAGAATTCATCAAGCATTGTTTATAAAGTGGGATACCATGCTCTGCGTTCCTTTTTGATCAAAGCAAGTCAGATGTGTCTTAACAATACCAACGATGGCTACCAGATCCAACACCAACAACAGAAACAAAGCTCGAACCTTTACACTGAAAACTAAAAGAAAGGATTAAGGCTCTACACCACAAGAGGTCACTATTACAATAAGAACACCGCTGTACTGCAAGAACAGAAGCCCCACGCGTGGGAGCTGGGAGAAGCTGGACTTCCTCCCTGCAGACAAGGCCACAGGCGTCCCAAACTGGCCAGATGTGCCCAAGGTCACACATCAGGGTCAGATCTGGGAAGCCAGGTCTCCGGGCAATTTCCAATCCACTTTGCTGTTCACCACTACATCATAGAGTAGTGAATCCACACAGTGTTCAATAAAGAAAATAAGTAGAAGGACCTTTCTCTGGGAACCTTGGGGGCATAGTGAGGTCAGCCGTTCAAAACCACCAGCCGCTCCACTAGAGAAAGATGAGGCTTTCTAATCTCTTAAAGATTTCCAGTCTCTGAAACCCACAGAGGCGTTCTACCCTGTCCCACAAGGTTGCCATGAGTCGGAACCAATTTCCCCACAGTAAGGTTTTTGTTTTCTTTTGTTTCTTTGAAGATGTTGTATCCTTGGAAACTTTTCAAAGATTAACAAAACCAAAGTCATAGCAGGTGGTCCCTAGATGGCATATACTTTGTGTTCCAAATAAAAGTTTCAGTTGGTCAATAGTCGGAGGTCATGCTTTGATTACTTCAAAGGAGCCCTGGTGGCATAACCGTTACAAGTTGGGCTGTGATCTGCAAGGTCAACGGTTCAAATCAGCAGCCAGCTTCATAGGAGAAGCTCAAAACCAAGCTCGATGCCACTGAGTCATAGCTGACTCATAGTGACCCCTGTGGGTTTCTAAGACTGTAACTGTTTATGGGCATAGAAAGTCCCCGTCACAGCCCAACGCATAGCCACCATGCCACCAGGGCCCACAGGACAAAGACTTGCAGTCTTAGAAACTCCCGGGGGCAGTTCTACCCTGTGCCTACAGGGTCGGTATGAATTGGCAGTGACGTGATGGCAGTGAGTTCAGGTTCTGGCTTAGTGTCGGGCCATCTGTGTAGGACCCAACTCTTCTTTAGAGGAAGCTGACACTGAAGAGTGTGCACTTTCAGATTTATGTCCAAAGTAAAAACATGGAGGGAATTAAGAAGGCAAGTTGTAGGGAAAAAGAGCCCTTTGTGCTGTTAAATATAATAACAGCTCCGGAAACTGGAGAAGGCTGGTGTGTGTGGCCAATGCCACCCGGGGACACTGGGACTCGTCTGTGGCTCCTGCTTCCTTGGCCTCGGGCCTTTATCATTGCAGGACTAACTCCCCAAAATACCACCTTCCCCCATAAACGTGTCCTTTCTGTGGCTCTCGGGTTAACATTTTCTTTCATCATGAAGTAAGGCCACTCTTCTCAAATGTCTCCCTTGGACTCGGAAATGGTTGCTGTATGCTTGTAGGTCGTGAGGGCATAGGATGAGGGGGCATGCCCTCCCTAGTCATTCCAAGAGGAACATGGGCATGAGACCCTTTTGCCAGGAGTTGAGTTTCAAATGGAAGGGGTCTCAAAGAAAAATGAAAAGAAAATTAACTGTACGAGAAGGTGAAATAACAAGAGTTCAGTTTTTGGTGTGAGGGTGTGAGGACACAGAAGTTCCTGCATTTATGAGGAACGTCTGGGAACAATGGAGCAAGGGAGACCTTCCTTTCCAGACACACACACTTGTCCTGAACAATTACTGAAACCAAACAAGGTCATTTCGATGGACAGCCTTCTATCTGAAGTTGCTGATCTACCCTACCCGAGGTCATGGCCATGGCCAGCCAAAAGGTTCCTCCCTAAACTCCACATTTGCACACCCCCACTTATAGGAGGGGGGAGGGGGAAGATCCTTCCTCTTATCGCAGGAGTGGTTCCAAAGAGCTTGTGGGAAAGTTCCACTATCATTTCATTCCATTCCTCCCCTCCCCACTAGACCTTTGGGAAGCCCTTCACATACAAAAGTTCCGTAGTGCTGGGCCCAGCCTGTTGTGAGGAAGAGCATGCTCTCTATCACAGTGTAGTGGGTGAGTGCATGCAAGCTCTGAACCCAAACGACCTGTCCCCAATCCTGGGCTCAACCCTTGAGCAGCTATGTGACCTTGAGCAGCTTCACCTCTTGGACTTGGGTTTTCATCTTAAAAAGGGGTGATCCCCTTGCTTAGGCCAGTGACAACTGAAGAGTATAAGACGCGGTCAATAACATTTTTTTTTATCTGATCTATTAAGCACGTGTCTCAGCAGTCCAACGCTGGATGCTATTGGGATAAAGAATGCATATACAATGTGCTCCTCAAGAAGTTGAAAGCCTACTTTGAGGAAACAGAAGCCTTTTTAAATGAAAAATTTTAATGTAATGTAAAATTAAGAGAGATGCAAAATTCAGCAGGATACAAGACTAACTACAGGGATGCTGAGAAGGAAGTGGTCAGTGAGCGTGAGAAGGGGACCACCCGCACGACCTTGAAAGAGGAGAGAGTTGGACCAGCAAATAGCAAAACTGCTCTCGGCTGGGCAGCAGCGTAAGGATAGGTAAACAAGGGGCATGAGGAGCCGGATGCTCAGGGTCAGGGATTACCTGGGCTGGCAGGACAGGAATAGAAGGCTGATTCTGGGAACCACCGCCTAAGACCTTGAATTGGACCGGTGGACCTAACTTGGTGGATCAGAAGACACGGTCATAGGTTCGTATCCTAGGATAAGATGAGATTTGGGGCTGTGCAGTAACAAAAACATAGAAGGGATTTGGAGACAGGTAACAAGTGCTAATCATTTGGGAGTGACAGGGGGTCTGGGGAAGAAGAAACAAATTCAGATCAATGCAAATGTGATAGGATGCGAAGGCTGGTTTGAGGCAGAGGAAAGAACAGTGTAGACCTGGAGCAACTGGAGAGAAGGCTGTTCACCCACAGAAATGGGGCGCGTAGGGAGGAGACCAGTTAGAGGGGCAAAGCAATCCTGGGTTTTACCATGTTGTCCAAATACCAGAGACTCAGGACCAAGCTTTATGAGATACTCACAGGTAAAATCATCATTCTTACGATTTCAATTCCATGGTGCTATCCTTAGAAGATTCCTGGTGGCTCAGGGTGCTACGTATTGGGCCAGTAACCACAAGGTCAGAGGTTCAAACCCATGAACTGCTCTCTAGGAGAAAATTGTGGCTGTCTGCTCCTGTAAACATTCGCCGTCTCCGAAACCCTCAAGAGCAACTCAACCCTCTTGCATGGCACTGCTAGGAGTAGAATTGACACGCCGGCCATGGGTTTGACTTTGGTGCTATTATTTACTTGTTGTCTGGCCCCTGGGTAAGTGTTCTTAAACTTAAGCTTATTGTGAGGATTAAGTGGTACAACGTGTATATAACATTCTCTCTCTTCTTTCAGCCAAGCTCCACTGGCATCGCAATGATTTTCCTTGTTCCACATCGTCCTCTCAATCAGGCCCGACCCTCTGGCAGCTCCCTGTCAATGTACTGCTACAACACTTGATGGTTAATCTGCAGAAAAGTTGTACTTCCATGTGATATCGATGCTATTGTTCTATAATTTGAGCATTCTGTCGGGTCTCCTGTTTCTTTGGAATGGGTACAAATATGGATCTCTCGCAGTCAGCTGGGCAGGTTGTTTTCCAGATTTCCTGGCATAAGACGAGTGAGTGTCACCAGCACTTCAGCAGTTTGTTGAAACATTTCAAGTGGTAGTCTATCAATTCCTGGAGCCTTGTTTTTGGCTGATGCTTTCGGTGCAGCTTGGACTTCTTCATTCAATACCATTGGTTCTTGCTCATCTGCTACCTCCTGAAGTGGTGGGATGTCGACTAGATCTTTTGGTACAGTGACTGTGTGTATTCTTTCTATCTTCTTTTGATGCTTCCTGCATCGTTCAATATTTTGCCCATAAAATCTTTCAATATTGCAACTTGTGGCTTGAATTTTTTTCTTGAGCTCTTCCAGTTATTACTGGTTATTACTCAAGCCTATTTGCATAAACTTGCTTCGATGCTGCTTTGTGGCTAACTGTGTCTCCCTTAACTCAGAGTAAGAGCTCCCTGGTGTCATTTCTCTTAGCAACTGAAGTGCCACAGTTTCAACACATCCCACGTGACAAGTCCCGTAATGTCTCCCTCTTGCAGCTAAGAGTACTTTAGCACAGCATACAGGTGCCACGGAAGCCCTTTTCTTCAGCATGTGCCTGTGGCAGCTACCAAGTGGAATTTCGTGTCCGATTCCATTCTCAGCTTTCCACCCCTCACGTCCTCGTCCCGTGCTCCAGCTCCCATGGGACCATCTCCCTGACTGGTCTCGTGGTCTTCCACATGGCTGCAAGGGTGAATCACTGTGCTGCTAAAATCTCTCTCAGCGTTCCCACCCCATTTGAGCAAGAGTAAACCCACCTTCCCGAACATGGCATCAAAAGCCATCCAGCAGGTGCCCCTAACTTCCTCTTCTGGCTGCACTGCTCAGCACATAGCCTCGGGGCCCTCGGCTCCAGCTACCCAGGGCCGCCTGCCATCAGCTAAGAACAGCATGCCCAGTCCCTCTGAAAACTAGCCTTCAAGAAGCGTTCATAGCCCATGCCCTCTAGGAACCCTTCCCTGGCCCTCAGGTCAGAAGTGGGTGTTCTGACTTCTGACCTTCAGGTGACTTTCTCCTGTTCTCATTCTATCTATCCAGTGTTAGCCTGTGTTAGACAAGGCTCTCTAGACAAACAAAACCAGGACACTGATGGTTATAGATGATACAGATATACACAGCACAAAGGAATATAACAGCTAATTCATTAGTCCACACAGCAGT